CATTTCCTCAGCTGGGTCTCACCCCGCACCCCCGCCCAGCAGCCCTTCCAGGCCCACCTCCTCTGGGAGCCCGGGGGGCCAGCAGACCATGCCTGCTGCCCCTCCTCCCACGGCAGGTGGGGTCCAGGGCCCCTGGGATCCCACAGGCCAGGTGAGGAACCCAGGCTCACCAAGCCGGCTCCATCCCCTCCCGCACTGCCCCCCAGCCTGCCGCCGCCCCCAGCATCTGCCGTCTCCGAGGGCTTTCCTGAGGACCCCGTCACCACTGGGCCCCCATCCCTTCCGCCCCAGTCGGCTCGTGCTTTGCTGCCTGTCCACCCCCAGGGCAGCCCCCAGAATGGGCCTCTGTGCCAGGTCCTGGGCCTGGCGCAGGCTGTGTGGATGACTCAGGCCTGCTGAGTGAGTGACATGGCAGCTGCACCTGGTGGGCCTTCTGAGGCAGTGTCGGAGGCGGGGCCAGGCTCGGGCTGGAAAGGCAGTTCTTGGACCAGTGGTAAGAGGTCAGCAGGCCGACAGCAAAGCCCAGAGCTGGAAGGCCCCTGGCGGTGAAGAGCCGGTGCCAAGCGGTCTTCTTCTAGCATGCCCGCCCATCTTGCTGCTCACCTTTCCGCCTGGAACAATTACACACTCAACTCAAAGCAGGGGGCAGAGGGCCCCCATGGCTACGTCCACGTGGCATGCTGTTTAATACCCACAGAGGCCAGGGGATCCTCCCGCCTCCACGGAGGGTCCTCTGATGGCTGGGACTCTCAGAACCGGGGGTGCCGACCAGGGAATGTGAGACCGAGCTTCCTCCTAACGCCATGGAAGTTAAACGCATGGATGTGGGGCAACATCAGAGGGAAGGCCTGCGCCTCTGGCGGTGAGAGAGGCCCACTTCCAGCCACGGGGAGGGGGCACACGACCTCCTGACTGCACCACAGGGCCTAGCGCACCAGGGTCTCATGTGTCCTCTATTCGGCGGGTGGGTGGGTACGGGTGCCAACATCTCAGCTTGGCAGCTGCGGCCTCAGCACAGGGTGGTGCTGGTGGAGGGGACATGCCAGACCGGTGCCTGATGCATCTGGGGTTGGCCGGAGGGGGACCCCTCACCATGGCAGCACTGTCCCCAGGACAGCTGCCCTGTGGCTGGAGGTGGGCAGGCCGCCAGGACCCCGTGGTGAGAACATGGGGAAGCGCACGCCTCTGTAATGACACGTGAAGGTGCCTGTGGGAGCCGGACACTGGGTCTGGACAGAACCCGAGCTGGCCCTGGACTGTCCGACTAGGCAGGTGTCACGGACCCTTTGAGACTCCATCTCCTCACCTGTAACGGGAGATGAGGTCCTGCATCCTGGGGTCGAGACCTCCTTCAAGGGAAAAATGCCTGTATCACAAAATCCACTCATGACACACACTGTCAGAAGGCTTTAGTGCCTTCACAAGACTGCAGCTGGAACTGTTATCTAGTTCTGAAAATTCTCATCACCCCATCAGGGAGCCCTGAACCCCCCTCAGGCTCCCCAGCCCCTGGCAACCACGAGTCCCTCTGTCTCTGTTCATTTGCCTCTCTGGACACTTCCCATAAACAGAGGCGGACACGGGTGGCTCCGGCTGGCTTCCCTCCCCAGGCGTGCTTTCGAGGTGGTGTCGTCCTACTGTCGGGTGTGTGGCAGGGCACTCTGCCCTTAGTAGGTGCTGGCAGGTAGAAAGGGCCAGAGGCCACCAGGCAGCTGTCCTTCCGTGAGCAGCAGGCTCTGTGGTGCCACTGTGGGGCACTCTGGACCGAGCTGGGCAGGCTCCAGGGAAGCCCAGGAGCCCAGGATGCTGGGTGGGTTTCGCCCCCAACCCCACTGAAACAAACACTGTAACCATCACACAGATGTGGTCCTGGTGCAGCGAGGCGTCTCCCACGGCCAGGGCGGTCGTGTGTGTCTCTGCATCGAACTCAGATCAGCGCCATCAGTCATGCGCCTGGTCTCCGCAGTCCCATACGGGAACCTAGTGCTCGCTGGCAAAGAGAGGCAGGCGCACAGGTTGCCAGGGCAACACGGACAGGCAGGCGGTAGGACGGGGCGCCTGGAACCACTCAAAGACCTTGGGTGCCGTGCATTATGGTCCTGCATCAGTCTCTGAAACGAGTTCATCAAACCTCCTTAATGCCTGGCCTTATGCCTGGCCTGATTCCTGACTCTCTCAGCAGCGATCACACAAACGATTATTAGATCATGCACGGACAGCGTGAGCACACGCCCGCAGTCTGAACGGAGTCCGAGACTCTCCCTGCTTCCACTTCTCATGTCTTTGTCCACCCTTGACTGG